TACTCTATATGGAAGGCAGGAGTCCCAGCTGGTGTTTCAACTGCTCCACCAAGTGCCCGGCCCACAGTTTGATCATTTGTAATCCTTGGTTCCCCTAAATCAGACTAGTTGAGAGGAGCACAATAGAGGAATTGAAGATGAACAGTGGCACTGGAATAAATGTGTTTGCTTTGCTCCCACCTAGAAGCCCACCCGCCTTCCTCCAGGGGAACGAGGGTTTAGTTCTTTCAGTGGTGCACACTAGACTTCTTGCTGCCACCCTTTAATGCTGTGCTTCTTGTTGAGGGTCTTCCTGGAGGCTCTGTTGTGGCTTACTGCATTGCTGCAAGAGGGGAGTTCAATTTTTAAATACTAGAGTATGTTGAGGTCAAGTTGAGGTTTTTGAAATAAACTATGTGCTATAGGCAGCTGTTGCAGTTTCAGAATACCTTGAGGTTCCTTGTGCCCCTCTTTGGAGTATTGAAAAGACCATTTCCTGTGATCCTGAGAATTTTTGTTACTGTTTTGTAACCACAAAACATTATTTTCTTTTATACTTTGCACTCAGGAATTTAATCTCTCTTTGATATTGAACTTAAGTATCTTATGGCTAATGAAGTAGATAAAACTTACTAATAATAGCTTTTTCCCTTCCAAATTGCTTTTCAGTTTTCCAATAGTGGCCTTATATCCTCCAAAATGCTAGTATTTTGTTTTGTTTTTTAAGAAAGTATTTTTCCTATAAGCAGGGCAAGACCATTGGGACTATCTGTAAAACACTATGTAATCTTCAAAAAAAAAAAAGCAGAATATATATATTTAATGTGATCTACAGTTTAGATAATTAAAATTCTAAACACTCTCTTCTCAAAAGAAGGTCTGGGTGACAGTCTCATTAGGGGCAAACCTCTTTGGTTTATCAGTTATTGTTCAGATTAGAAAAATAGTTAAAGATGATTTCAGAGAAGAAGGTATTCTGAGAAAAATCAAGCTAGATTTTTCTCTCCCTTAATCTGTAGAGATTTTAACACAAATATATATTTAAAGATTTACTTATTTATTTGAAAGCCAGAGTTACAGAGAGTGGAGAAACAGAGACACCGAGAGATCTTCCATCCATTGGTTCACTCCTCAGATAGCTGCAACAGCCAGGACTGGTCCAGGTGGAAGCAAGGAGCTGATATTTTCATCCAGGTCTCCTACACGGGTAGCATGGGCTGCTTTTCCCAGGCCATTAGCAAGGAACTGGATCGGAAGTAGAGCAGCCTGGACACAAACCGGTGCCCATATGAGATGCCAATGTGAAAGGTGCGGCTTTACCTGCTACACTACAATGCCAGCCCCACAAAAAATATTTTACTTAAAACAATTGTACTCCTTATTCATGCCCGTTTTGGGTATTCATGTCCACTCTGGTTTACCATTAAATCTGGCTGTCAGTCTTTTGGGAGCAGTCAGATCTACATTTTTTGTCTTACAAATAAGAAGTGTTGACATGTGATAGTACAGGTTCATTTTTCCTCTGTAGTTTCAGATATGATTTTGGCTTTACCTGAGTTTTATATTAACCTACCAATAATAGCAGGTTCAATTTTTCTCTTAAGCAGTACCCAGTATCAACTTAAGTAACATCTACTTCACTGCCAAAAAATATATATACACTAAAAATTCTTTAATATCATTTCTCTGCACTAATACTAAACAACACCATTTTTTTTCTTTTTTCTTTTTTTTTTTCTTTTTTGACAGGCAGAGTGGACAGTGAGAGAGAGAGACAGAGAGAAAGGTCTTCCTTTGCCGTTGGTTCACCCTCCAATGGCCGCCGCGGCCGGCGCGCTGCGGCCGGCGCACCGCGCTGATCCGATGGCAGGAGCCAGGAGCCAGGTGCTTCTCCTGGTCTCCCATGGGGTGCAGGGCCCAAGCACCTGGGCCATCCTCCACTGCACTCCCTGGCCACAGCAGAGAGCTGGCCTGGAAGAGGGGCAACCGGGACAGAATCCGGCGCCCCAACCGGGACTAGAACCCGGAGTGCCGGCGCTGCTAGGCGGAGGATTAGCCTAGTGAGCCGCGGCACCGGCCACAACACCATTTTTTTAAAAAGATTTTATTTATTTATTTGAGAGGTAGAGTTACAGACAGTGGGAGGGAGAGACAGAGAGAAATGTCTTCCTCCCGTTGGTTCACTCCCCAAATGGCCGCAACGGCTGGAGCTGTGCTGATCTGAAGCCAGGAGCCAGGTGCTTCTTCCCAGTCTTCCATGCAGGTGCAGGGGCCCAAGCACTTGGGCCATCTTTTACTGCCTTCTAGGGCCACAGCAGAGAGCTGGACTGGAAGAGGAGCAGCCGGGACTAGAACCAGCGCCCACATGGGACACTGGCGCTGCAGGCAGAGGATTAACCTACTGTGCCACCACGCTGGCCCCCAAACAACACCCTTATTAAGATTTTGTGCCGGCGCCACGGCTCAATAGGCTAATCCTCCACCTAGCAGCGCTGGCACACCGGGTTTTAGTCCTGGTCAGGGCGCTGGATTCTGTCCCGGTTGCCCCTCTTCCAGGCCAGCTCTCTGCTGTGGCCAGGGCATGCAGTGGAGGACGGCCCAAGTGCTTGGGCCCTGCACCCCATGGGAGACCAGGATAAGTACCTGGCTCCTGCCTTCGGATCAGCGCGGTGCGCTGGCCTCAGCGGGCCAGCCCTGGTGGCCATTGGAGGGTGAACCAACGGCAAAACGGAAGACCTTTCTCTCTGTCTCTCTCACTGTCCACTCTGCCTGTCAAAAAAAAAAAAAAAAAAAAAAAAAAAAAAAAAAGAGAGAGAGAGAAAGATTTTGTGTGTTGGGGCTGCTGTTGTGTTAGTGGGTTAAGCCACTGCCTGTGACACCAGTATTCCATATGGATGTCAGTTCAAGTCCTGACTGCTCCACTTCTGATCTAGTTACCTATAAATTCACCTGGGAAAGAAGCAGAAATGCCCAAGTATTTGGCCCCCTGCCACCCATGTGGGAAACCTGGAAGAAGCTCCTGGCTCACAGCTTCAGCCCAGCCCAGCTTTGGCCTGGCCCAGCCCCAGCCATTACAGCCATTTGAGGAGTGAGTGAACCATGGACAGAAGCTCTCTCTCACTCTGTCTCTCCTTCTGTCTCTGTAACTCTGTCTTTCAATGAATAAATAAATCTTGTTATTCATTTGAATGAGTTACAGAGAGAGAGGGAAAGACAGAATCTACCACCCGCTGGTTTATTCCCCAGTGGCCACAATGACCAGGGTTGGGCCATACCCAAGCCAGGAGCCAGGAACTTCTTTGGGGTTTCCCACATGGATACAGGAACCCAAGCCCTTGGGCCATCTTCTGCTACTTTCCCAGGCACATTTACAGGGAGCTGGATTAGAAGTAGAGTAACTGAGACTTGAACTGGAACTCATATGTGATGCCAGCACTGCAGCTGAGAGTTTAACCCGCTGTGCCATAGTGCCGACCCTGAATAAATAAATCTTTAAAAAAATTGTGTGTGTTCAGAGTCCTTTCTCATCACTGTAACTCTAACCTTCCTAGAGAAAATGGAACAAGTCTGCTAGAGGAAGTCCTTTGCAAGAGAATTTATCTAACATTTCCATAATGAATGCCAAACTGCTGCTGCCCTGGCATTCAACTCTTAGGCAGATTACAAAAATGACTTCAGTTCCTTCCAACTTTTTGTTTGTGTTTTGTGTTCTTGCTTTTGCTGGTTTCATAGTGTAGCCTCTTATTATGTATTAAGACTTCACATTTCTCAGGATTGTTCCTCATTGGAGGGTATCAGGTATCTCCTATGATCTTTTTTAATTTTGGGAGATTTATTTATTTGAATGTCAGAGTTTTATATATATATATGTATATATATATAGAGAGAGTTTTATATATATACAGAGAGAGAGTTATATATATATATATATATATAGAGAGAGAGAGAGAGAGAGAGAGAGAGAGAGATCGGTCGATCTTCCATCTGTTGGTTTACTTCCCAGATAGTGCAACAGCTAAGACCGGTCAGGTTGAAGCCAGGAGCCAGGAGCTTCTTCCCGGTCTCCCACATGGGTAGTAGCAAGGATCCAAGCATTTGGGCCATCCTCTGCTGCTTTTCCCAGGCCATTAGCAGGGAGCTGGATCAGAAGTGGAGTAGCCTGGACATGAACTGGTATCTTTGTTGGATGCCGACATCTCAGGTGATGGCTTTACCCATCTAACTCTACAATACGGCCCCTCCTCTATGATCTGAGCATGTGCATATCAGACCCATTAGTTGCAGATCTGCCCTATCTTTGAATATCATCAGATTGAGTCATATTTAGGCCAACCCAGTAATAGTTCATACACAAACTCTTAGCCCACTCACTCTAGCTGATAGATCTAAAATGTATAAATGTAGTTATTAGTAATAGTCGATTCTGTGATTCTAGGTCAACACACTAACTCATGGCCCAGCCCACCTGGTCTCAAATCCTCATCCATGTGCTCTTCTAGATACAAGTATGGCTGTGCAAAAGCAATGTATTTCTCTGAAAAAATGAAGGATGGGGGAGAGGAATGGCTACACTTTGCAGATAGGATTTAAAGTTTCCTCTAGGTTTTTAAAAATGTAATATTGCATAACATGGGTTTGCTTCATGTCATTCTTTGTCCTGTTAAAAAAATAATAAAGCAGGGATAGATGTTTAACTTAATGATTAATTACTTGATGATTAAGCTACCATTTGGGCCCCTGCGTCTCACTCTGAGTGTCAGAGTTCAGTGCTTAGCTCTGACTCCTGATTCCTGTTAATACAGATCCTGGGAGGCAGAGGTGATGGCTAAAGTGGTTGTGTCCCTGCTCCTCACGTGGGAGACCTGGGTTAAGTTCCTGGCTTCTGGCTTTAGATCTTGGCTGTTGCAGGCATTTAGGGAATGAACTAGTAAATAAGAGCTCTCTCTTGCTCTGTCTCTTAATATAAATTTGAAAAAGAAAAGTAGTCACAGTCCAACAGTTAATAATCTTTTTCTTTTCAGTTTCCAAAAAAAGACTTACAGCAAAATGAATAATCCAGCTATCAAGAGAATAGGAAATAATATTATCAAGTCTCCTGAAGACAAGCGAGAATACCGTGGGCTAGAGCTGGCCAATGGAATCAAAGTGCTTCTCATCAGTGATCCCACCACGGATAAGTCGTCAGCTGCACTTGATGTACATATAGGTACAGTGTGAAACTGTGAATTCAGCTTTGTTCAGTTTCATTGACCTAATGTTGATATTTACTAGAACTTTCCACATGAATGCAAATAAAGATCCAGAAGTTGCTATTTGATGTATATTACTTTGTACCAGAACCCTCTTCAGCTATTGGCAAACTATAGGCATCTAATTCAAGTAATCTTTAATAGGTACTGAAACTATCTTATTAGGTTCCCACCTAAGTTGACCCAGCAACAAAGAAATTCATTCCCATCCTTTACAAGATAATTCTGATTTTTTTCACTTTGGTTCACATAATTTATATTCATAGATTCTTGTGTGCATATTTCTTCCATATTTAATACTACTTCAGTAAGGTAGCTTCTTATCTGTATATGCATTTACTGAGGCAGTGTTTCTCTTTTCATATTTTTTAATAAAAACTTTTTATTTAACTCGGTGATATTTTAGAATTGAGGGAGATTGAGCAGATAACCATTGCATCCAGTCATGTAGACTGCTTTGCAAATATCTTCTAATCAGTGCTCACACAGCCCTCTGTTAGGTGTATATAGAAGTGACTGAGGTGAAACAGATAAAGGATTGTGCTTAAGGTTTCGTAGCTATAGCACTGCTGCCCCCCAACCCATGCTCTTAGCATTGTGCCCTATGGTCTTTTGTAATAAATAAAGCCATGATTAGAAAGTTCTAATTCCTATGAAACATGAATTCAACTCATTTTTTCTCTCCCTTGTGTGAGGAAACTAATGTCCATAGAAGTAAAATAAATCACTCAGTGTCACCAAGTAATTAATGTCAAGAGTGGGGCTAGAATTCAGATCTTCTGACTAAGGGTTTACCTTTTAAATAATCCCATTTTATAGCAGCCTGTACTTAGCTTTCTCTGATTGTGTGCTTGGGGTTCTACTGACAAGAATTCTAGATCATCTGTAATTCATCTGTACTTGCTCTTCTTCAACATAAACAAATGACTTATTATATATGTGTTTTCTTTTTCAGGTTCATTGTCAGATCCTCCAAATATTGCTGGTTTAAGTCATTTTTGTGAACACATGCTGTTTTTGGGAACAAAGAAATACCCTAAAGAAAATGAATACAGCCAGTTTCTCAGTGAGCATGCAGGAAGTTCTAATGCCTTTACTAGTGGAGAGCATACCAACTACTATTTTGATGTTTCCCATGAACACCTAGAAGGTGCCCTCGATAGGTAATGCTGAATGTCCTCTGAATTATCCAACTTTATGCACTTACCACATTAATATTAATAATAATTATTTTTACAAAGATGTTTTTATGGTTTTGTAGTTTGATGAGCTGTAGTTTGCTGTTTTTCCCTGTGTGTTATGAGAAAGACAAAATAATGAGTCATATCATCTGTTTACCTTGTGGTAAAGGAAAAATAATGGCATGACTTTAAATTGGCCTTTAGGCCTACCAAATATTTTATTGGCTTATAAAATTCCAACCAGTGCTTTCCATTCTAACTACTGTTTCCTATGAAGCACATGATGAAGAATAACCTATAATAGCATCATGGATATCTTTTCAGTCATACTTCCTGTTCTAGAAGTATGACCTTAAGTATTCTAGAAGCTTGACCTTAAGTATTCTATTCTCTCTCAGTTCCTTGCTTCTCAAGGTTACCCAGTGGGTACAGAATGTTCCTGCTGTTTTTACCCTGGGGATACTTTGAAGGTGCATTCTGGAGCAAGCTCCATTAGGCCAGTTCAGTTTCTTGGTCAGTTTCCTATACTGCCAGTAATTTCTCATTTGTTGTTGAATTAGTGATTGGATTCACTTTTTTAAAGTGTCACTTATTCTTGGTGAATTTTTATAGTTTTCTATGTTACCAAGTTGTAGTTTTTGATGGATCTGTAATGAAGTTGACTTCGGTTTTTCATCAACTTTGTTTTCTCACTTGAATTAATATTTTTAAAAAGTTATATACTACATTGTATTCTTTCAATAAATAGTTTGCATTTATTCCTTAGCACAAAGAATGTTTACAGATATGTTTGAGTTGTGTGGCTGGGTCAAAGTAGTCTTTCTGCTCATTCTATTTTATGTTTCAGTCTTTGGGCAGCAGCTTTGAGGCATAATCATCTTTTATATGTATTCCCAGAAGACTTCCATTGATGAGTTTCCTGGGATAATACAATGAATTTCATTTCCTGCTTTATAGAAGACAGCAGGTGGTCATATAATAGATCTGTTTTCCCTCGCTTAGTAAAATCCACTTATTATAAGGGCATCTTTTAAAAAACTCAATTATACAGTATCATAAACATGATGCTTCTTTTGGGCCTAATTCAGCTTTGATATGTAACTGTTAGGCACTTTTTCCAGCCTGGAAAAGGTAGGTTAAAAAAGTTGCATGTATAGAAATAGCTTTGTTTCCATATATTTTTGGTTTTATACTCCAGATAAATGGAGTTTTCCTTATAGATTGGTGTGTGTAAAATATTTGGCACAGTGTCATATTCACATAAATGCTTAGAATCAGTAACAAGTAATGGTAATAGCCTTTTTGACAGCTGACCTTTGTGGTTTGGTAACTGAGAAGTTTATAAATCCAGGAGTCTCCTGGACCCACTGAATAGCAGTCTCATTCAGAGCCTCTGCTCTTGCCTTTGTCTGAGCTCTGGTCTTATTCTTGTAAGATGGGATGTGAATTTCTTAAGAAGAATTACTACATGAGATCATGACTTCAATTGCTGCCTAATATAGGAGAGTTGATTTTTTTTTAGCTAAAGATGTCTTAGTTAACCTTTGGTACTATTACTTATTTATTTTTTTTTAAAAGCTTAATTTCTTTATTTGCAAGGCAGAGTTACAGAGAGGCAGAGGCAGAGAGAGAGGTAGAGAGAGACCAAGGTCTTCCATCTGCTAGTTCATTCCCCAAATGACCAAAACGGCTGGAGCTACACCGATCCGAAGACAGGAGCCAGGAGCTTGGACTTGGGCCATCTTCTACTGCTTTCCTAGGCTATCAGCAGGGAGCTAGATAGGAAGTGGAGCATCCGGAACTCGAATCAGCACCCAAATGGGATGCTGGCACTGCAAGTGGTGGCTTTTCCCACTATGCCACAGCGCCGGCCCCTGGTACTATTATTAAGAATAGCCTTGGGGCCGTTGCTGTGGTATAATAGGCTAAACCTCCGCCTGTGACACCGACATCCCATGTGGGCGCTGGTTTGATTCTGGCTGCTCCTCTTCCAATCCAGCTCTCTCCTATGGCCTGGGAAAGTAGAAGATGGCAAGTCCTTGGGCCCCTGCACCTGCGTGGGAAACTCGGAAGAAGTTCCTGGCTCCTGGCATTGGATCGGCTCATCTCCGGCTGTTGCAGCCATTTGGGGAGTGAACCAGCGGATGGAAGACCTCTGTCTCTGTCTGTCCCTCTCACTGTTGGTAACTCTGCCTCTCAAATAAATAAATTAATTTTTTTAAAAAAGGAATATCCTCAAGCAAAGTTCATTAGTTACTTCTGTTAAGGTTACATATCCTGTTACTTGTTGAATCACTACTTACTAAAAATGTACAGACTATTCATAGTATTATTTTTTTAAGATTTATTTATTTATTTGAAAGTTGGAGTGAGTGTGTGTGTGTGTGTGTGTGTGAGAGAGAGAGAGAGAGAGAGAGAGAGAATGATCTTCTTCCATTTGCTGGTTCACTCCCCAGATGGCTGCAATGGCTGGGTCTGGGCCAGGCTGAAGAGGAACGAGGAGCTTCTTCCAGGTCTCCTACATGGGTAGCAGGAGCCCAAGCACTTAGACCATCCTCCACTGCTTTTCCAGGCCATTAGCAGGGAGCTGGATTGGAAGTAGAGCAGCCGGGACACAAACCAGTACCCATGTGGGATGCTGGCATTGCAAGCAGTGGTTTTACCTGCTCCACAGCACCACCCCTTTATCATACTTATTTCATAAAAGCCCATAATCATGGCTTAGTCAAACTGTTATGTCATACCCCTGGTTTTTTTTTTTTTACAGTGTTGTTTCTTTCTGCTAATTAAAGTTTGTTTTTTTTTTCTATTAGAAGAAAATAAAATTCAAATTGAGCCTTTTTAAAGTAGGTTGCTTAATTTGTTTGTCCTAAGGTGCCTGAGCCTTAGTGAAATTGTACCTAAAACTGTAAACTTAAGATATATTTACTGACCGGCGCTGCGGCTCAATAGGCTAATCCTCCACCTAGCGGCGCCGGCACACCAGGTTCTAGTCCCCGTCGGGGCGCCGGATTCTGTCCCGGTTGCCCCTCTTTCAGGCCAGCTCTCTGGCCTCAGTGCGCCAGCCGTGGCGGCCATTGGAGGGTGAACCAACGGCAAAAGGAAGACCTTTCTCTCTGTCTCTCTCTCTCTCACTATCCACTCTGCCTGTAAAAAAAAAAAAAAAAAAAAAAAAAAAAAAATGTATTTACTGAAAACCTACCATCTTTTTTCTTTTTAAATAGAATTAGCTACATAGAACAAAGTTTTTCATAGACATCTGAAATTATAAATCTGAAATAAAAAGACTGCTACTGTCTCCGTAGATCCACCTTGGCTTTTGGTGTTAATCTATTTTTATTTTTACTGATTATTTAGTGTTTGTGGGATATATCAACTCTGAATATACATATATCCAAATTATATTTTTTCTTCTGTTACTTATATATTTTTAATAACAACATTGTTTTTTTCTGATTCTATAGAATTCGTATTTTCTATCAAATAAATTTTAGTAATATTTTTTAAAGGCCACTTTCTAAAAATAATGTCTTTCAAGTTGTTAATACTGTTTTGTACTCTTAGGTTTGCACAGTTTTTCCTGTGCCCCTTGTTTGATGAAAGTTGCAAAGACAGAGAGGTGAACGCAGTTGATTCGGAACATGAGAAGAATGTGATGAATGATGCCTGGAGACTCTTTCAGCTTGAAAAAGCTACCGGGAATCCCAAGCACCCTTTCAGCAAATTTGGGACAGGTTTGTCAATGGCACCTTTTATGCATTACTTCTCCTTGACCTCATTTAAACCCTTGGCTTCTATGCACAGTATTGTATTTACAGTTAAGGAGAGAAGATTCTAGAACCCCCCCATTTCTACTAAATGTTTAAGGAGCCATACAGTTAAGAGTTGTGAATAATAATAATAATCAGTATTTCAGAGGGAGAAGGCAGTAGATGCCTTTATTCTGAAATGTACCTTCCAAATGGAAGTGCTTTTTTTTTAAAGACTCACTTCAAGGCTTGTTGACTTGTGCCCCCACCACCTCCACCTGTACTCTTCCAGATGCCTGTTGTCTGCTTGGGGGCAGCTCTGTAGAAGGTACAACTCTGTAGAAGACACACAAGGTCCCTGCTCTGTCAGAGCTACAGTTCCCCTAGAAGGAGATAACAGGTAGCAGCAGCAGGGAGTAGAATGAAATAAATGTGGGTATTCCTGGTTGCATAATTGTATCTTTTTAAAAAATGTGTTTATTTATTTTATTTATTTATTTGAAAGGCAGAGAGAGTGAGCACTCTCCCATCTGCTGGTTCATTCCACAATGGCCAGGACTGGTTCAGGCTGAAACTGGGAATTCATTCCACTTCTCCCATGTGGGTGGCAGTAACCCATATATTTGTAAGTCACTGCTGCCTCCCAGGGTCTGCATTAGCAGGAAGTTGGAATCAGGAGTTGGGCCAGAGCCACGCATCAGATGCAGACACCTGAGCATCCTACCCAGTGTCTTAACCACTGTGCTAAATGCCCATCTTAAAATGTAATTGTTTTATTTAAATATTCAAGCAGCACAAAAGTATTCCAAGTAAAAAATTAAAAGCAAAAACACAGAAGTCTGCCTTTTCTTCATCTGCTCACCAGAGTTAATCATTGTTAACAGGTTGCTATGCTTTTCAAATGCTGTTTTAGGTTATTATAAAATTGCTTATTGGGAGTAGATAGTTAGGCTAGTGGTTAAACCCCTGCATCCCACATCAGAGTACCTAGGTCCAATTCTTGGCTTTAGCCCTGGCCCAGCTTTAAATGTTGTAGGCATTTTCAGTGTGAACCAACTGATGGGAGCTCTTGGTTAGTTGGTTAATCTCTCTCTCTTTATGTTTATCTCTGCCTCTCTTTTAGTTAAATAAAAGTTTTTTTTTTTTAAATTGCATAAAAATAATATCATAGATTATTAAGTATTATACATTTATGCTTATTTTATAAATTAATTTTGGGAGTCTTGATGGCTTTCTTTAAGTTTGTATACCATTCTGATATATCCAGTAGCAGCCAGGTAAATTAGCGTAGTTTTACAGAATTATGAGTTCAAAAACTGCCGTTAGAAGCAGTGGTACAATATTCTTTAGTTTTATAACACTTGGAACTCAATATCAGCATCAGTGATAAAATAAGTATTGTGGTCTCTATGTAATTCTAAATTGTTTGGAAAGTGGGTTTTTTTTTTTTTTTTTTTTTTTGTGGAGAACATCAGTATACATTGTATGTTAAAAAGTGAATATGAGTTTTAAAAAACAAACTTTGAAATCATTACATCCAAATCATTGTTATCCTCTAAAGTAGTTCATTTGGTACATTCAGTACACCAACAATGCTGCTGTTGTGCAAAACATATTATTAGCTCTGCTAATGTGGCCTCGCTGCTGACAAATCATAATCAGTGTAATCAGGAAGCAACCACATACCCTTCAGAAGTAAATACAATTAATAGAGTGAGTAATATTACCTCAGGTCCAGCAAGGAGCGATCTTAAAACATCTGGGGTGATGGGCAAAGAGGTATGCTGTATGACCTTATGTGCATGGGTGTTGTTTGGGTGCCTACTTGTTTTTATAACCTGTAAGGTGAGGTGGTTTAGTCAGCAAAGTACAAGGTAATGTAATCAGCTAAGAGATAAGTGAGCCGCACTCAGTATACAATACAGAAAATGTGGTATAAGTAATACAAATGTCAAGTTTTTCTGACTTTAGAAGCATAAGCTAGCATCAGATTTTTTGGAATAAAGGGTCTCTGCATTTTTTTCTTTTTTTAAAAGATTCATTTGAAAGGTAGAGTGATGGAGAGAGTGGGAGTGGGAGAAGGGGAGAGAGAGAAAAAAAAGAGAGAAAGAGATACTTCTACTCCTCTGATTCACTCCCCAAATGGCTGCAACAGTTGGGACTGGGCCAGGCTGAAGCCAGGAGCCAGAAACTCCATCTAGTTCTTCCACGTGCATGGCAGAGGCCCATGTACTTTTAGCCATAATCTGCTGCTTCCCAGGAGCATAACCAGAGAGCTGGATTGGAAGCAGAGCAGCTGGGATGTGAACCAGTATTCCAGTGTGGGATGCTGGCATCCCATGCAACAGCTCAGCCTACTGTGCCGTAACACCTACCCTGGTTTCAATTTCCACCTCCAGCTCTTAACTCCAACTTCTTGCTAATGCAGACTAGGGACAATTTCAGTAGCTGAAGTAACTGGTGCCTGCCACCCACATGGGAGACCTGGGTTGTGTTCCAGGCTCCCAGCTTCAGCCCAAGTCCTTCCACCTTTGCAGCTATTTGGGAGCCCTCTGTCTCTTGCTTTCTGTCTCTTTCTTTACCTCTCAAATGAGTAAATTGAATAAAATAAAAATAAGCAAAGGATATAAATATGATCTTCACAAAAGAGGGTATTTAATGGTCAATAAACATTTAAAAAGATGTTCTAATTATTAATAATCGGGGAAATACAAAGTAAAACAGCACAGTGCTTTCTTATACCTACTAGGGTGTTAGTAACTGACAATCAGATGAATCCAAGTGTTGTATAGGTGATGATAAAGAAAAACAAAAACTCATACACTGTTGGTGGGAAAATAAATTGGTTCAACAACTTTTTAAGGCAGTTTGGCAATATCTGTTAAATTGATGCCCATGCCCTTTGACCCAAGGACCTACCTCTTTTTTGTGAAAGATATTAAGCCTGGGCTGAAAAACTTGAATGTCATCTTTATTGTCTTCGAGATAGGACACATGACCAATAACAAAGACAGCCACAAAGTGAGATCCTGGGAAGTAGCTGCTTATAGGGGCAGCATCACTGTTTCTGTGTGGGATGAGATTGGAGGTCTTAGATATCCAGGGACTGTTACTCAGTTGGTCAGAGGGACTGCATCCTTGTGGAAAGGATGTCTGACACTTTATACTGGAAGAGGCGGTGAACTTCAGAAAATTGGGGAGTTTTGTGTGGTTTATTCAGAACTGCCAAGCTTCGTTGAACCCAAACCAGATTATCGAGGACAGCAGAGCAAAGGGACACACAGTGAACAGAAGAATAATTCCTTAAATAATAATATGGGAACAGGTATACTTGGACCAGTGGGAAGCGGTGTTCAATTGGCTCTGAGTCACAGGGATACCAGTTTTCATATGCTGGTAGAAGCAATGGCCAGGCACTGCAGGCAGCAGTTTTACCCACTACGCCACAGCGATGGCCCCATGAATGAGTTATTAAGGCATCAGTTTTATAGCCTTTGTGTGTGTATCTTCTGTATAAATTTTGTAATATTAACATGAGGCTTAGTGGGAGATGTTCTTATGTTTTACATCCAGATAATTGCCAACTAAAGCAATAACTACCAAAACAAACAAACAAAAACTCTACAACCAAACCAAAGATAAAACTCCACACAAACTTGGTCAGTGCTAACAGCAGTGTTTTGAATATTTGTGACTCCAAGAATGATTGACTTTTTTAGAGTGACTGCTACTAAGATGTTTACAAGGAATAAAACATACTAAATTCTTGTGTTACTACTAAAACCAGATTCTTTATCAGAATTATGGAACAGAATGTGATCTGTACAGTAACAGTACTTTTTAGAAGAAATCTACATTTCCTTTATTAGGGTAGTGCTTTTTTTTTTTTTAACATTTATTTGAAAGTCGGAATTACATAGAGACAAGCAGAGGCAGAGAGAGAAGTCTTCCATCTGCTGGTTCACTCCCCAATTGACTGCAAGGGCCAGAGCTGCACCGATCTGAAGCCAGGAGCCAGGAGCTTCTTCTAGGTCTTCCACGCGGGTGCAGGAGCCCAAGCACTTGGGCCATCTTCTACTGCTTTCTCATGCTATAGCAGGGAGCTGGATTGGAAGTGGAATAGCTGGGACTCGAACTGGTGCCCATATGGGATGTTGGTACTGCAGCCAGTGGCTTTACCCGCTAAGCTACAGCACTGGCCCCCTCAGGTACTCTTAAAATGATTCAGAGTCCTGGGGGCTGGCGCAGTGGCTCACTTGGTTAATCCTCCGCCTGCAGCGCCGGCATCCCATATGGGCACCAGATTCTAGTCCTGTTTGCTCCTCTTCCAGGACGGCTCTCTGCTGTGGCCCAGGAGGGTACTGGAAGATGTTCCAGGAGCTTGGGCAGCGCCAGCTGTGGTGGCCATTTGGGGAGTGAACCAACGGAAGGAAGACCTTTGTCTGTCTGTCTGTCTGTCTGTCTCTCTCTCTCTCACTGTCTGTCAAATAAATAAATAAATAAAAATGATTCAGAGTCCCAACTCCTCAGGAAAAAATAAAATGTCTTCTGTTGGGGAATGGTTTGAAGTTCTTTCATATCAAGGTGAAATCTGACTGTTGATGGTGCTTCCCTTGTTTATAAATGAAGATTCTGAAAGCCTCGGTTCTTGGAAGACTGGTACTTAAGAGCTTCTGAAGTCTTTTGCAATGCCAAGTACAAATTCCTGTAATGTATATTTTAAGACTGACACAGTCTGACACCCAAATCAGGAGAAAGTAGATTTTATTTCAATGGACAACAATGTTATGGGGTGGGGAAATGGCTGGAGGGGATGGAGCGAGGGGGAGGGAGTGGTGTTATGGCATTGTGAGTCCTGGCTGCTCAGCTTCTGATCCAGCTTTCTGTTAATGTGCCTGGGAAGGTAGCAGACAATGGCCTAAGTATTTGTGCCCCTGCCACCCATGTGGAAGACCGGAGTGGAATTCCTGAATCCTACCCTCAGC